AATTGCGAACAATTGCGAATTGCGGATTTGCGGATATTTAGACTTCAAAATCCGCAATGTTCTGCAATACCGCAAATCGCAATTATTCTGCAATTGCCTATTTGCGGCGTCATCCTTAACTATTGGTTCCCTTAGATTTGGATTAGTAACGGTAAATTTCAAAAAAAAAAAATATTTAATTTTTTTCTGTTTTTTTTAGACACTATCAGTTATTAGTTCTGATTTTTAAAATTAGATCGATAATGGTAAGTTTTGAAAAGTTTCATTTTAAAACCTTTTTTAATTAAAAAAATATTTATTTTTTTTTTCTTTATTTTTTTTAAGTACCATTGTCTCTGATCTTAGACTTGGATTTGAATCAGTGAATTTGAAAAGTTTCATTTCAAAACTTTTTTCTAGAAAAGTTTTGAAAGTATAAGAATGATAATATTAGTAAATATATATGGAATTATTAAATAATATACTGATTTTTGTAATTTTAATATTTTAATGTAAATTTTAAATAGTTTTAAATAAAAATGCATTGTTATAAATTAATCAAAAAATAATCAATCAGTACACTGACATTTAATTAAAAAGTTATTAATTGGTATACTGATATATCAAATAGTAAATATCCTACTTTACTAAAAATGGCCAATTTTTTGAAATGATTTTGTAATAATTTTAAAATACTACTAAAATACATTTAATATATTAAAATGTTTTTATTATACTTTAGTTATTATTTTATAATTGTATTGTATCTAGATCTATAAAAATATCTCAAAATAATGTCACAATAATTTTTTAATGTTTTTATTATTATTTTATTATTATAATACTAGGAAAACGGAAACCGTTGAGGGTCCGTCGCTTAATACGTTTACATACATATATAAATGGTTACACAAAATGTGTTGCTAAAAATAAAGCGTTACAAAAAATGTGATACAAACATAAAAGGAAATAAGCAGGGGCTAAATTATAGTGACATAGGTGGAAGGAAGGAAAAATACATGGGTTAAACCGGTACTGCAAATTTATCTAGTTCTGTACAATAAATAGTCCTTCGCTACGCTCTGGACAATAATTAACTTTGATATTATTTTAATATTTTAATTTTAAAAATACCTTAAATATATTTTGATATATTTTAAAAATTTTACAAAATAATTGCACAATTGTTTTGAAAGCTATTGTATCTAGGTCTATAAAAATATTTCAAAAAATTGGCAATTTTTAGTAAAGTATTAGTAACTATTAATACTTAATTGTTTTCTTGAATATCCCAATTGGTATTCAAGTATCCTTCTTTTACGCTATTTTTTGGCAGCAATCAGATTTACTGATTAATGAAAATTTAAAAAAAAATAGGGATCAATTGGATGGAATTTGGTCACTTGATTAGTTTCCAATTTGACATCATTTGACTAATAAGTAGTTATAATATCTATATTGAAAGTGAAAAAGTGAAACTTTAATAAAAGTTTAATTAACTAATATTTATGTAAATTACGTAACTCTTTAATTACAATCATGTTAAGAAAGCTAACTAAAGATTGCAGATTTTACTGAAGGAAGGTTTTACTTTGGTTTTACCAAAGTATAGTACAGAAGAGATTAGTCTGTTTTTAGTTAGATAATAATCTTAGATAGAATTTATTTAAAGTTTTTTTAGCAATTTTGCTTTTCCCTTATTTGTTTTCTAAGTAGTAGTAATTTATTTTTTCTGTATATATATATATTAGTTCGATTACTCAGTTATAGAGGATTGAAAGATTTATTCTTTTTCTACTCTAAGTATTTACATGTTAATTATAGAAATCTTAGAATTTCAAATAATTAAAATAATTACAATCATATAATATGTAATAATCACATGATTTATGCAGAATTTTTTGGAGGTGTAGTCAGTGATGTGACGGGACAGTGTCCCACAAAATTTTAATGTCCTGTCCAAGTCCAATTTCATTTGTCCCATCCTGTTCCGTCTAAAATATTGTTCAATTTATTAATATTATATATAAATCATATATCCTCTTATAATGAATTTTTATCCTGGACATCAACAACATCTTGTTCAAGTCCTGAACTGTCCTGTCCTGTCACATCTAAGGACATGTCCCAGTCCCGATCACAACACTGGGTGTAGTTCTATATTATATCCATCTCACATGACTTTAAAATTTGTTACCAGCATCACACCTAGTGTTGTTAAGTTTAAGTCACGTCACAGCTCGCCGAACCGTACCAATGGGGTCAATCGACTTGCACAAGTTGCAACTTGAGGCTGGCTAAGTTGAAGCGGGCTGATGGGACTGATGGTCTGGCCGGCATTACAAAAAATTACAAAAATTTTGGCCCACGTTATGAATCAGTGCACAAAGATTTTTCCTTGTGTGATTTATGATTCTGGCCAGCACTACAAATTTGGCCAGAATAATAGCCACCCATCGGTCCCATTGGCCCGCTGCAATTTTAATCAGTTCAGTCTGACTTGGCGTGACTTCTATTGGCCCAGCTTGAAAGTCAGTCTGAGTCAGACCGTTAACAACACTAATCACATCTTCTTGTATATAAAATCCTTATTTGTCATGTATTATTTGTCATATGCTTAATTTCTTAATGCTAGTTAAGACATATAATACTGGTTAAAAATCATATAAGATGGAAATTTTTTATTAAATCTATTGTGAAAAATTATTTGTTATACAGTCAACTCCCTCTATAGTCACTCCCGTTATAGTCACATTCTACTATATAGTCACACCAGTTGAATGTTCAAAACACTTTATTATTAAAAACTATCCTATATAGTCACAATCTATCTATAGTCACTATCACACCTATCCTCAAAAATCTTATATTAAAAAAAACCGTTTATAATCACAGTTATATAAAGAATATATTAAATAACTTGGCATC